CATTGGTGTCATGTGAAGTCGTTATAAAAATGACAGATAGACAACCAGTTCCTGTTGTATTTCCACTGAACTTGAGATATAGCAGAAAGGACTAAGATTAGAAATCAGAATCCAAAGATCTTGAGGTATCAAAATAGTTTACCTTGAGTTAACTATTTTGCAAATTTTTTAAAAAGAATGATGCAATACCACTTTTGAATATGTTTCCAAAGGAAATTAAATCTGTATCTTGAAGAGATATCTGTGCACCTATGTTCACTGCAGTATTATTCTCAGTAGCCAAAATATGGAAGAACCCAAATGTTCATCAATAGATAAATGGATAAAGAAATTGCGGTATATTTATGTAACAGAAAAAAAAAGAAGAAGAAGAAGAAAAGAAAAAATCCTGTCATTTCTTTTTTGTTTTTTGAAAGGTTTTTGCTATAGGACGCGTGCACTTGCCAGAGAGAGAGACATAGAGACAGAAAGCGAGAAATCACCCCCCAGGGGGGATGGTCACACCACAATCCCTTCTCCTCCATTCCCTTCTCGGGATCTTGGTCATGCACAGACACGCACCCGGCATGAATTTTAAGCCACTGGGTCCAGGACGCAAACCGCGGTTGACTACGTGGGAGTCCAGTGACATAGCCATTACGCTAACTGCTGGTTCCCAAATCCTGTCATTTCTAACAACATGGATGAGACCAAAAGGCATTATGCTAACTGAAATTGGCCAGGCACAGAAAAACAAATCCTTTGGTAATCTCAGTTATATGTGGAATTTACAAAAGCTAGAGTCAGAACAGAGAGTAGAACAGTGGTTTCCAGGGGCTGAGGTGGGGGAAGGGAAGAGCTGCTGATCAAAGGGTATCAACTTGCAGCTGTAAGATGAATATGTTCTCAGGACCCAATATACAGCACGGTGACTATAGTTAATATCAATGTATGGTATACTTGAAATTTGCTAAGAAAATAGATCTTAAACATTCTCAGAAAAAAAGGCAATAAGGTGATGACTATGATAATTAGCTTAATCATGGCAACATTTCACAATATGTGTGTTTATGTGTGTGTGTGTATATGTGTATATATATATATATATATATATATAAAACAAAACATCATGCTATATACCTTGAATGTGTATATTTTTGTCACTTGTACTTCAATAAAAATGTAATTAAAAAAGGAAAAGAAAGAATGATGAATTACATTCAAGCTTATGAGTAAATACTAAACTCATTTTTTATTAAGCCAATTTGATTCCCCTCTTCTCTGATTCCTTCTGAAAATTCCATAAATGCCACATGACACACTTACCAGGGCAGTTTTCCAGGAGACATTTTGGATACCCCTTCCTAAGAAGATGTCTTTGAACCAGCCCCTTTCTGGGGCTGAATGACTTTCCATCATTTATTGTCATTAGGTTCCTCTGGAAAATCACTTTACCACATCACTTTCCTTTTTGTAAATTTCCACCAGTCTTCCCTTGGCTTTTACTGGCTCTTACCATTCAGGTACCTCTAGAAATTGCTCCTTATTCAGAAAGGATGGAGATAAAGGGGAGGAGAAGAATCTTGTGTGAGGATGAGAGAACCAGGTGTTGGCTGGCTTTTTCCCGCCCTCTCTCCCTGGATGCTGGTTGCCTCTCTGAGGATTCTCATTGGCTATATCCAGGCTCCTATAAGTCTGATTGTTTGTTCTCGTGTTTGCTACAAGAGGTCATGATATTCTGGAAGAGTGGATTTGGAATCAGTAGACCTGTGTTTGCAGGGAAAGTAAAGAAACACCTACCTCTGTTCTTATCGGATTCAAACACACGTATGTGAAAGGCTTTTAGTAAATCATGAAAATCCATGTACACATAGGTGCTACAATTACTCTTGGCCATTTGTATTATTATAGAAATGTCTGTCTTTAGTCACAAAGGGACTGTGGCAGAGGCCAACATTCATTTTAAAAGAAACTCATCCTCTGTCATATAGAGTGTCTGGCCAAAAGGATATTTTCCAGTCTCATATGCATTTGGATAGATTAAAGTGACTAGCTTTTCCTAATAGAATGTGAACCAAAGTGATTAAATATTACTTTAAGACCAGGGCAATTGGAAATGCAGGTGTCTTCTCTAATTTTCTTCCCACCAGCTGCTCAATGAAGAGGACGCCAAAGCCAAAGAGGCTGGCAGAGTTACAAAGTGGCAGGAAACTGAGTCATGAATTCATCACGTGGAAAAAAGCCATCTCTGACCATAGATTATTATGTAAGAATAATCTTTCACTTTGTTAAGCCACTGAAATATTGCAGTTTATTAGAGCAGCTATCATTATCCTAATAATGAATGAGTCAAAGGGATAGGAATGTTGTGGCTCAGTTGGTAAAAAGTACTGAGAGTGAGCATGTACGTGATGGCTGGCGATGTCTTCTTCCTAGTGGCTAACACATAGGCCACAGGGTCAAGGGATTACAGAGGGACATCTACAATGCTATGTCAATAGGTCATCAGGCAACTTGATTGGTACATCAATGCACGTGCATACACACACACTCACACACACACACACACACACACACACACGTTCACAATGGTGTTCTGGAATACCATTGTTAAAGCTACAGTAATGAGTTTCCAAGGCCATCTATTAGAACCTCTCTTAGAGTTCAAGAAACTGGCATCCAAACAGGAGATGGATTGGCTTGAGTCGACGGACCCAGTTTGTGGGTGGCATTTAGATTAGTATCCATGTCTTTAGATTCCTAGTTTGCTCCTTTCAACTCCCTCCTCATTCTCTATGGTTTATCCCAGCTTCTTTCCTGACAAAGCCGAACATCTGGATAATCCGTAAGTGACTCAAAAAAAGGGAGAGATAAGCACAAATGGATTTTGTGGGTTTTTTTGTATCTACCTTTTAATCAGCTAAAAGGCATTTTTCATTTCCAACTTAGTGGCTAACAACAACAAAAAATGGAATAAGTCTTTTAAACAAACCCTTCTCCACATTTTTTTCTTTTTTTTGGAGAGGTTTTTGCTATAGGGCGTGCACTCGCCAAAAAGACAGAGAGAGACAGAGAGACAGAAAGCGAGAAATCACCCCCCAGGGGGGATAGCCATGCTGCAATCCCTTCTCCTCCATTCTCCTCTCAGGATCTTGGGCACACATGTACATGTGCCTGGTGTGAGTTTAAGCCACCAGGTCTGGGACTCAAACTGCAGTTGACTACATGGGAGCCCAGCAACATAGCCATTATTCCAACTGCGGGTCTCAGGATCTACCTACCTTTTATTTTTTAATTATTTATTTTATTTATTCATTCATTTATTTTATAATTTGACCAGAGAGAGACAGAGGGTGAGAGAGAGAGGAAGTGAGAAAGCAAGCCACCAGATTCAGGACTTGAACCCTGGTCAGCCATGTGGTAGTGTCCAGCGCCTTAACCACCATGCCACCTGCTGGTCCCCAGGATCTACCTACTTTTATCCTTCCTTCTGAACTCTGTACTCCAGCTGGCCAGCCTCTGACTTTTTCTTTTTAACCATTATTATTATTTTTTAAATTTGCTAGAGAGAGAAAGAGGGGCAGGTGGGAGTGAGAAGCAAGCCACCAGGTCTGGGACTCAAATCACAGCTGGTCATGTGGGAGTCCAGTGACTTAACCATCATCCCCCGACCAGCCCCCAAGTCATAGGAGCCCATCACAACTCCTATTACTTTACCTGTTTTTCTCTGTGTCTTTGAGCATACTGTTTCCTTTTTGTCTGTCCTTCAATATCAAACATTCCCACTAAAATAAATCACTGTTCTTCCTTTTAAATGTTCCTTAAATGTTACAATCTCTGTAAAGACGTTCCCAGTTCTTTCGGGCAGAGTCTGTGTTTTTCATTGTGTTCCCATGGTACTCTGTTTATGATACCCTCAGAGCACTCGCAGCATACAACTGTCATTTTCATTGCACCTTGGTGTTCTCATGCTTTGTAAGCTCCTCCCCATTGCTTAGCTTTTGGAAGGGTCAATAGCATCCACAATGTGATCACAACCCTCCTTTCCTTACCTGAGTTGTTTGGGCCAGGAATGACTACCCAACACATAGCAACCAGGTCACAGGAACCCCAGCCACCATAGCAACCTTCTACAAAGGATTCTGCCTTCTGGGAATGGCTGCCTGGGGATGGGGGATGGGCCATATTCTCTCAATCAAGAATTTGCTTTCAGAGAGAAAGAGGGAAGTTGCAGTTAGTTGTGGGGATGGAGCTGTGAGGTTACAATATTGGGTCAGGGCTGATGGCTGAGCTGAATCATGAGTAGGAAAAGCAAAGCAGGAGGAGCACCTTGGGAGATGGAGGAAGAGACCAGGCCCAGGGGGTAGAGGGAAGCAAGGAGGAGAGAGACCATGAGGTTTTGGTGAGGTGGAGAGAATGGCCTCAGTTCCTGGGGGCTTTCAGGCTTTTGTGGCCTAGCTGTGCTTTTTGCCTTGGCCTCTACAAGATCCCCCTCCCAGGCCTTTATAGTATTACCCTCCAACATTCCTCTGTACTAGTTTAACGTGACTCTGTTTCTTGTAACTAAAAGAACCTTGATTAAAAGAAGTTGTACACCTCCCCAGAGATGTCACCAGAGTGTAGCTCAATGCATGGAAGGTGCTCAAAATATGTTTGTTGGATGAATAATAAATAAACAAAGGAATAAATATACATTTACTGGTAATAAATACAGGACACTTTTCCCACTTACCTTTCTACTACAAAATATTCTTCCCCTTTAATCATCACAGCTCCTATGACTTATGCCCTATAGCTTTTTAAAGTCCAGGATTTGACAGGTGGCATTTCCCTGAAGCATTTTTGCTCAAAAAAATACCAAGTCTGGCACATTGGCACCTGAGTGTGATAGGAGACGACACCTTCACCTCAATCGCATCTGCTTTCAGCAAAAACCAAAGTGGTTTCCTGGACCTTTTACTTAAGAAACACAGGGGGAAACAAGCTATATGTAGAGAGATGTAGTATAGCTTTTATTTTTTTTTAAACCAACCCAACATTTCCACTGGCAACTGCCAACATAGCTTATGACACAAGCACAGTTTCTTTTTTAGTTATTTTTTTCTTAAAAAATGTGTTTAAAATTAAACAGGTGTTTTTTGTTTTTAATTTCTTCCCCCCCCCCTTAGAAAATGTATTTATGTCAATGCAGAAAGCCTAAAGACCTGTGAGTAGTTTTGTGGTGAAGTCGTGTGTGTGTGTGTGTGTGTGTGTGTGTGTGTGTTTTAAAGCCAGGTCCTTTCAAAAGTTGTTGGGAAAAGGTCTACAGGGCATGGTGATCTCTTTTTCCTATAAATCCAGGCTCCATGGGATTATGGCAATTAAGACTGCTCTTCTTGGGGCAAGAAGACATACCCCCACAGACTGAACAAAAATCTTCATAAGGTTTAAAAACAAGGAGGAACACGGAAGAAACAAGGAATTCCAGTTCCTGTCTTGTAAAATTGCTTTCAACATGCCTCAAGGAACCAGGAGAGGTGGAAGGAGCCCCTTGTTCTCTTATAAACCTCTTAAGTTTTTGCATCACTTCAAGAAATATAGTCAGCCCTCCTAGTATGGTGCATTAGGAAGTGAGGGGGTGGTGAGCTGACATTTCTCAGAAATGCTGGCATTTTAAATACAACCTTTCCTCTTCAAAATCCTACTGGTTGGACATCCCCTCTCTCCTGCCTCAGATACAAAGGCAAAGATATGCAGGATGGCACGTAGCACTCTTGTTTCTCCCGCTGCCCTTTGTCATCATATCCTCTTCCTATTTTTGTCCCTGATGTCCCACCCGGTGAGTCTTTCTGCAGAAGCATGCACATATAGACACTGACACCACAGACATACAGAGTTGGAAAGGCGTAAGCAGGGAAAAGGACAATCTTTTTTTTTTTCCACTCAATTTTGATGAGCATAGAAAGTTCCTCCTGCTCCGACTGAAACCCTTGTTCTTTAGTGCCCCGTGTTTGTATGTGAGCTCACTCCAGCCCAAATGCTGTAAGTCCTCCAAAGAACTCAGAGGAATAAAGAAGATGGGGGCAGGACCTTGATGGAGCCTAGAGACAGCTGTTACCCTGTGAGAGTGGGAAGGCGTGTCTGAAAACTCATGCCTCATCTGTCGCTCAGACCTGGAATTTCCTCATGGCACCTTTGTCACTAACTTCAGAAAGAAAAGACAAAACGAAACAATAAGCAAAGCCCAATGAGAAAACAAAAGCACCCACAATAATGATTACAATGAAAAGAGAAGCCCCAACCAGCCACATGGATATGACTCATTTTCACGCCTTGCCAGCTGAGTGAGAGAGCAGTGATGTATCGCACTGGATAGACAAGGAGAAACCCTGCCCCAGAAAAACCAGAGGCAAAGGATCATCAGAAGGTGGAATAGCAGGAGGTAAAAGGGTCTGACCCTTGTGATGGGCCAGGGACAAGATTGGGAAGGTAGGGTGGAGGTGGATTTGTTGCTGTTGTTAGTTTGTATTTTATTAAATACTTTGTAAAGTGGGAGTTTCCTCCATTCTGTTTGATTGATTAAGACTCTGCCCTTTCAGTTCCCTGCCAGGGCCTAGGTCGGGTGAAGTTCCTGGGGCTCGGGTCCTGATGCTGCCTCTCCAGGGCTGCTCATCCTGGAGAGGCCACTGGTGGGGAAGTGCCCTTCTCGTAGGAGAAGTCCTAGGCCTGCCCTGCTGGAGGCCTTGTTCTGTGGCTCAGAACCCCTTGATGTAGCAGTAGGCCTCCAGCGTGGCAAACAGTATGTAGAGGAGCCACAGGCTCACAAAGAGCCAAGTTGTGGCTAACTTGCAGCCGCGGGGGCCACCGAGCTCCCCGCCCAGATGGGGCCGCCGTCGGTACAAGAGCACACTGATGCACACAAACGCAAAGATGGTGAAGAGGGTGACGGAGAAGGCCAGCGTGCCAGCTGACACGTGGAACTCCTGTCCCTGCAGGGCCCAGTAGATGGCGGCCACGGACCAGGCCAGGCCAATGCCCAGGAAGACGTTGACGGCATTGCTGCCAGTGACGTTGCCAATGGAGGCATCTGCGTACACATCCTGGAGGGCAGCAGCTTTGCTGGCAAATGTATCTGTAAAGGGTAGAGACAAATGGAAGCTGGTGAAAGGCTCAATTGTGGAGGAACTGTTTTTGAGAAGGCCCAGAAAGCAGCTCAAGTTGGTGGACTGGGCTCAAGAAAGAAAGGTAAGGGCTGAGTCAAGCCATGTAGCCTTGGGCAAGTCATGGCCCTGGTCTGGGCTTTCTGTTCCTCATCTGTAGGAATTGGAAAGATTCCTAAGGGTCTTTCCAGGCCTGATATTTACCAAAGGGGTTAACTGCTCTCCTTTATGTTTTCTGTCAGGGAAGTCTGCCATCCCATAATATTTCCCCAGGGAACCTTGACATTCTGGGTAGCTGCTTGGAGTAGATATTTGGTTATAACTATCATATGGAGATCTTAACACTGACAGTAAATGAGCAATGTTGACAGGCCCAGCAGTGGGCCAGGTGCTGAATTTATGGGGATAGAGGACATGCCAGGGAACCATGATGGGGACATGTAGAGTGAACTACAGACCTAGGAAGACAGAGTTCTGTCTCTGGAGTTGATCTATGGATTACAGAGTTTCACAGGGTGTCTGACTTTAGATCTTGGCACAGGTTTGTAGGCCCAGAGCAGACTACAAGGAACAACTTTTTCATTGTATAGGTAAGGATAATGAGGGTCAAGTAATTTCCCAATGGTCACATGGGAAGTTAGCTAGAGACTTGACTCTAAAATCTATAAGGGCCCTTTCCTACATCCAAAGAGCTTCAACCAAAGCCACAAAATCAGAGGAGTGGACCACAATGCAACCTCCCTGAAGCCTCTAGTGCTGTCAGCTGTCCTCTGGACCCACTGCTAGGACTTGGAAGTGCTCCAACCAGTTTCCTGCCAGCCTTGTCCTAGCTTGCCTCATTGGTGACAATTTTCTCAGATCGCCAAAGAAAACCTCTTGCACTTTCTTGTCTGTGACCTTGCTTTTTTGCCTCTGATCCTCTGCCGTTTTACCCCCACATCTGTCCTTTTCCCCATATCCGTTCCAGCCCTCTGGTAGTTCAGGTCCCTCAAGGCCTGGAGAGCAGATATCACAGGGCATCTCATCTACAAAGCCTTTCCTGGATCAGCTATCTGATTTCCTACCACCTGATGTCGCTCCATGGTAGCCAAACCTTTGACATCACGAATGCATGAATAATCCCCCTGTTTTGAGCTGGGGCTTTAGGAAGAGGTTTGGCTACAATGTGAAAGAGATTCAGCTACTCCCCAGCGGGGTCTGTTTTCTTGGGATGAGGAAGGGTTTCTTGGTCTTTGCAGCAGAGTCCCATCTGGTGAGATTCAGCCTAACTTCCTGTAAGAGGATTTCCTCTGTGTCTTCCTAGGGCATTTGGCATGCCAGCTCCCTGGCAGAAGTTCACCCTGGGTACCTCAACTGAATTAAGTAAGGAATTAAGTAATGAGGCCTCTTCTACCTGCTAACTCCCACTTGCCATTCAGGCCCAGTTACAACGTCCTTTGGATCCTGACCCCAGTTTGCCCAGGGTCCCCTTGTACAACACCTGTATTTTTCTTTATAAGATTTATTGAGACCATTATAATCATCTACAGTAGTTAACTATAGTATCCTTCACTAGATTCTAAACTCCACGTAAAGGAAGCATGTCTTGGTTGCCTCTCGTTATAGTTCCAGGAACTAGTACAACATTGTATCAGGCATCATAAATGCTCAGGAAATAGTTATCTAATAAATGAATAAATTGGTGCCTACTTCTATTTGTCTCTGGGTGTTTATCAGAAAAGAAAAAGAGTATGCAGTTCATCACATGAAAGGACAAGAGCCTGCTAACCTTCCTTTGCCTATCCTGCTAAGAGACACTTTGTACTCAGAGGTGTCCTTCTAAGCAGAGGAGGCCAAGAATACTTGTGGGCATTTGTACTGTGACATCTTCAAGCAGGCTAATACTTAGCATCTCAGAGCCTGCCAGAGGTAAACAGAGGAAGAACAGTATCTATATTCTTTGAATTATATTGTGGTCTATTCATACAATGTAGAGGTTAAGAAACTGGGCCACTTGGACAGGTGATGACCTCTACTTCCCTATTTGAGTTTTGGTGAGCACTGCAGGGGTAAAACATGTACACTGCTTAGCAAACACAGTGCTTGTCACATTGAAAATGTTCAAGAAATGTTAGCTATCATCTTAATATCATCATTGATCCCTTTAGCCGACTTGTGTACCTTAAGGGCAGGGGCTCTGTTAAGCTTTGATCTGAGATGGCGAGGGAGTTCGTGGGGCAGAGTGTGGGAGTCACTTGAACCATATAGTATCCTCTGTGGAAACTCAAGCACCTCTCACTCTCACCTGGCACGGAGGTGCCAAATGCCACGAAAACAACAGCTGTGACCGAATCCTTGAGACCAATGGTGCAGCCGAAGTGGGAGGCCAAATCCCCGATTATGGCGGTAAGCATTCCAATAATGAGAATGGAGACGACGAAGCAGGCCCAGCCATGGCAGTACTCTGTGGGAGGCACACAGGCAAACAGCACCTTCCAGAAGACCGTCAGGAAGTGCATGACGTAGTCAAAGCAGGACGGCAGCCTCTCCTCCCCTGACTCATCTTCATCCTCGTCCCCTGCTGAAGGCAAGGAAGACAGGTCTGAGAAAGGGCAGCAAGGTCAGAGCCTCAAAAGTCAAGTCTAGGGGCCAGCAGGTGGCATGGTGGTTAAGGTGCTGGACACTCCCACATGGCCGACCACGGTTCGAGTCCCGGACCTGGTGGCTTGCTTTCTCACTTTCCCTCTCTCTGTGTGTGTGTGTCTCTCTCTAGTCAAATAAAAAAAAATAAATAAAATAAAGAGTAGATAAATAAATAAATAATTCAAAAAAAAAAAAAAAAAAAGAGTGGATAAAAAAATAAAA